CATATTAACACTTTTATATGTATTTTTATCATTATAAAGGCAAAAGTGCAGAGTGTTTATAAGAATCAGTCCTTGATTTATAGACCCTGCAGAACTAAGGGTGTCAAAACATGCTCTCTTACCCATAATATTGAAGTACTTCAAATTATGCCTGAAAGATTTATTTATTTGAAAGGCAGAGGGGCAGACAGATGGAGAGAAAGAAATCAATCTTCTATCCCCTGGTTTACCCCCCAGATGGCTGCAACGGCTGTGCCTGGGCCAAGCTGAAGCCAGGAGGCCGAAACTCCATCTGCTTTTCTACATGGTTGGGTGGGGCCCAAGTACCCAGACCATCTTTGACTGTCTTCCCAGGTGCTTTAGCAGTGAGCTGGCTTGGAAGTGGAGCAGCCAGGACTAGAACTGGTGCCTATATGAATGACAATGTCACAGTTGATGGCTGAACCTACTATGCCAAAACACCAAATCTTTCTACGTAAAGTTGTGGGGAGCAACTGAGAGCAACTCGGACTAGACTAAGTTACTGGAATTAAGACTTATTCTATGCATCTGCTCTCCCATAATATGGTGCTGGGAGAGGAGTAAAAACAGCTTCTACACAGCTGCCTCCAGTTCAACCAATAAACAGGACCTGCTCCTGGTTGGAGGAGAGCAGCGTACTCGGCGTGTAGGTTGCAGAGTTGGGATTGGTGGAAGAGGACTATAAAGGAGGAGAGAGACAGCATGCACCAGGAACATCTAAGGGGAACATCTATCCGAATAACACCTGTGCAGCCCCCGAGAGAGCCGGCCGGCGGTGTGCCGCTCCCCCGCGGAAGTGGGGAAAGTGGCTAGGGGGAACCGCCCTTCCACGGAGGTGGAAGGGTCGGTAGCCAACCCGGGAAGAACCAGCAGCAAACCCGGGAGGGCCAAGCAGACAAAAGAACAGCGCAGGGTCCTGTGTCGTTCCTCCACGAAGATGGGGAGCGACAAAAGTGTGGTCTACAGAGTAGTAGCATATACAACACCTAGAAGCTAATTAGCAATACAGAATCGTAATTCCACCACCACCTACTGAATCAGAATCTGATTACCCCAGGTAACTTGTATACATGTTAGGTTTGAAGTTGGTGGCAGGATAGTTCCTTGTAACTTATATTCACCTGTGATCCAAAGTATGAATGACTTGTGTGGTCTGAAAATATTAGTAAATTATAAAGATGTGAAAATTATTTGTGAGAAATGTTGCAAAGAAATTCTATAAAAATTACCCCCAGAAAATACAAACTAATGTATGTACACAGAATATTCTGTAATACATAGTATCTGGGGAAATTGATCATGGATAGCAGGAGACATGTGACATGCGGTGATAGTAGACATAAAGCCAGAGTAGAACCCAGTGGTCACTGTTCCAGTGACAGTCTGTTTTGCTGGAGATTTCCTTGAGAGCAGAGCCTAGTTACTTTAGTGCCCCTTGCACAGTTAGTGACATAGTTTCCTAGAAAGATAAAGATGAGCTGGAGAATGTTTGGAGATGGGCTGCAAGATTGATTATGGCACAGGAAGAACTGATTTATGAAGAGAGAGAAAAATAATTAAATGGGCAGCACTCTGCAACAAAAAGAGGCTGTGGAGACCTGGGTATTTACCTAATGTTTCTCCCCAGCTGTTTCCCAGAGTGTCCATGTAAAGATGCAGAACAGTAAGGTGGTAAAATTAAGAGCAAAATTGAAGTTTGGGGTTCAGGAAATTTTACCTGGTACATGAGAAGTGATTTTGAATGAGATGATTTTTTTTCTGATTTTGAAAGCTTTGTGGACAAAGAATGGGAAATCAGTTATTAAGTTGTTGAATTATCCTGCAAGGAAGTTATTGAGATCTTGTCCCTTGAAACTTCTTTTTCTTTAACTTAAGGTAAACAAATTTCATATACTTCATTTATACAGGTTTAGGAATATAGTGATACTTCCCAGCTTACCCTCCCTCCTTGCCACGCTCCCATCCTTCCTTCTCCTTCCTCTCAATTTTTACAGTGATCTACTTTTAATTTACTTTATACTCATAAGATTAACTCTACACTAAAGAAAGAGTTCAACAAATAGAAGAAAAAACACTGTTCCTCAACAGCAGAGACAAGGGCTACAAACAATCATCAAATCTCAAAATGTCAATTTCACTCCTATACATTACATTTTTATACTCTATGAGTTACCTCAGATCAGGGAAAACACATGATATTTATATTTTTGGGGCTGGCTTATTTTACTAAGTATAATGGTTTCCAGTTGCATCCATTTTGTTGCAAAAGACAAGATTACATTCTTTTTATGGCTGAGTAGTATTCCATACTATATATAATACAGTAATTTCTATATCAAATCATGAGTTGATGGATACCTGGGTTGATTCCAAATCTTAGCTGTTGTGAACTGAGCTGCAATAAACATGGGGGTACAGATAACTTTTCATATGATGATATCATTTTCTTTGGGTAAATTCCCAGGAGTGGGATTGCTGGGTCATAGGGTAGGTCTATTTTCAGCTTTCTTTACTTTTCTTTTTTTTTGGCAGGCAGAGAGTTAAACACTGAGAGAGAGAGAGAGAGAGAGAGAGAGAGAGAGAGAGAGAGAGAAAGGTCTTCCTTCCATTGGTTCACCCCCAAAATGGCTGTTATGGCTGGCACGCTGCACCGAAGCCAGGAGCCAGGCACTTCCTCTTGGTTTCCCATGTGGGTGCAGGGCCCAAGCACTTGGGCCATCCTCCACTGCCTTCCCGGGCCACAGCAGAGAGCTGGACTGGAAGAGGAGCAACCGGGACAGAATCCGGGCACCCCAACTGGGACTAGAACCCGGGGCGCCGGTGCTGCAGGTGGAGGATTAGCCTAGTGAGCTGCGGTGCCAGCCTATTTTCAGCTTTCTAAGGTATCTCCGTACTATCTTCCACATGGCTTTACTAGTTTACGTTCCCATCAACAGTGGATTAGGATACCTTTCCCCCACATCCTCATCAGCATTTATTGTTTATTGATTTCTGTATGAGTGCCATTCTAATTGGGGTGAGGTAAAACCTCATTGTACTTTTCTTTGAAGGGAGGAGAGAACTTCCACTTTGCTTATGGCCCTGTCTAAATACTGATGGAGTTTGTGGCTCAAAAGGCTTTCCTAGCCTTGGTAGCTCATGACAAGAACCTCGAGTGATCACTGACATCATAAATAAGAGTGTCAATCTTTTTTTAAATATTTATTTATTTATTTGAAAGAGTTACACCGAGAGAGAAGGAGAGAGAGAGAGAGGGAGAGAGAGAGAGAGGTCTTCCATTTGCTGGTTCACTTCCCAATTGGCTGCAATGGCTGGAGCTGCACCAATCGAAAGCCAGGAGCCAGGAGCTTCTTCCAGGTCTTCCATGTGGGTGCAGGGGCCTAAGGACTTGGGCCATTTTCTACTGCTTTCCCAGGCCATAGCAGAGAGCTGGGTTGGAAGTGGAGCAGCCAGAATATAAACTGGCGCCCATACTGGATGCCAACACTGCAGGTGGCAGCTTTATCTGCTATGCCACAATGAAGGCCACTATTGTCAAGTGTTAAATCACTGTGTACTTGCTCCGCATGTAGGAACTCTGTCCTTAATTAGAGCTGTACTATGAGAATTAACGGTAAAACTTGTCTTCAAACAGTACTTTATACTTTGTGTGTCTGTGTTGGTGCAAACTGTTGAAATCTTAGTATAGAGTTGATCTTCTGTATATAAAGATAATTAAAAATGAATCTTAATGAAGAATGGGATGAGAGAGGGGGTAGGAGGTGGGACAGTTTGGGGGTAGGAGGGCAGGTATGGGGGGAAGAACTGCTATATTCCAAAAGTTGTACCTATGAAATTTATATTTATTAAATAAAAGCTTTATAAAAAAGAATAATTTATATCAACTATGTTCACTGGACATACAAGGAGTCATCATAAAGCTCATGAAAATGTACATTGTCTTTTAATTACACTTTCCATGAACTTTTAGAAGTTCCCATGTATTGAATATACTTCTTTATGCTGGTATGTGGGGACATTTGCCAAACTTAAATATTAAAACATGTTAAAGAAATTACTTCAATTTGTCTATAACTGAATTACTTTGATTTTTAAAAAGCATTATTTAATTTATTTATCATTTAATGTACCCACTTTAGTTTTAAGAAATTCTCTTTGCCTGTAGTCAAGAGTTCTTACTCCTCTTCTTCTTGAAAGAGATCTGGATGGGAAAATAAAGAATTCCTGTTATATGTCCATAATACAAAGGTAATCCCGTGATAGTCAATTTTTGTGAAAATGGCTCTAACAAATTGCTGGTCTGTTACATGCACAAATAACAACTGTCTTCAAGGTCCAAACTAATGGAAAGAAAAAAAATAAAATGGACAGATTGCAGGCTTTTTTTTCCTTCTTCTTCTCTTGCTTCTAGGCTGTCATACTTAGCAAAAAGGGTGGAGGGAAAGTCTTTTTTCTTCCTAAATCATTCTGCTAGTGTTATATTGATTTTCTCTCAAGTACAGCCTGTGGTCTCAGATGATCACATATTTTCTTACATGATTTCTATTGATACAGCACCTTGATGCATGGGTTGACATACATTACTTCAGCTGTGATGGCACTGGTCACTGCTGACATTTCCTGGTTGGTAGGATGTTCCAAGCTTCTTATGCACAAAACGCAGGGAACAGACTGTTTTTCAACAATATTTGTATTCTTTGAAAAGCAGTTATTACTTATGCCTAGTGATATCTTAAGCCCCCATCAGTGTTGCTTAACACTGTTCTTACAACAATGTCGTGAATTCTCTTGTGTCTCTATTAACACAGAAAAAGGTTCCTCACCTGAATATCAGAATATTCCAGTGCGACACTGTTTCTAACAGAAAGTGTATTAGTAAGTCACAGAAAGAATTCATTGTGACCTGCTAGGCGCCCTTACTGTTGCTTTTTCTTTCTTTTCTTTGTATTCTCCTCTCATTCCACCTCCCTCTGTTTCAGCTAGCTGTGAGGTGGTTGGAACACAACTGCCATTACCAGTACCTGGATGAGCTCCTGCAGTACATCCGCTTTGGCCTCATGGATGTGGATACTCTCCATACAGTGGCCCTGTCCCACCCCCTCGTCCAAGCAAGCGAGACGGCCACAGCTCTTGTCAACGAGGCCCTAGAATACCACCAGAGCATCTATGCACAGCCTGTCTGGCAGACTCGCAGGACCAAACCGCGGTTCCAGTCCGACACCCTGTATATCATCGGTGGGAAAAAGCGTGAGGTGTGTAAAGTCAAGGAGCTCCGGTACTTCAATCCTGTAGATCAGGAGAATGCTCTCATCGCCGCTATTGCCAACTGGAGTGAACTGGCTCCCATGCCTGTGGGAAGAAGCCACCACTGTGTGGCAGTCATGGGAGACTTCCTGTTTGTAGCCGGAGGGGAAGTTGAGCATGCCAGCGGCCGGACATGTGCTGTGAGGACTGCCTGTCGCTTTGACCCCCGCAGTAATTCCTGGGCAGAGATAGCACCCATGAAGAACTGCCGGGAGCATTTTGTGCTGGGTGCCATGGATGAATACCTCTATGCGGTTGGAGGCAGAAATGAACTGCGCCAGGTTCTGCCTACAGTAGAGAGATACTGCCCCAAGAAGAACAAATGGACTTTTGTGCAGTCCTTTGACCGATCCCTCTCATGTCATGCTGGATATGTGGCTGATGGTCTCCTTTGGATATCAGGTAGAACATGCCTCCCTCATATGTTGGGGAGATATATATATATCTATATACACACACACATACATACATACATTATATATATTTATAAAGATGACATGCTTTAATTGTAGCACAAATTTAAAAGTCAGCACTGGTAGTGTGGCCACTTGTAATTGAACAATTGAGCATAGGGTGCTATTTTAGCTAATTAACATTCATTTATTGAGCACCTACTCTATAGAGAACAATGTAATTGGAAGTAATTGACCTTTCTATGACCTTCTGAATAATGAGTGGTGAGAAAATTCAAGATGGACGTTAGTGATCCATCACACCTGTTTTTCTACCAAGCCTTCTATTGTTTGTCAGTTCTTGGTCGTTCTTGATTTATCTAGGTCCTTTGCTTTTTCTTTCACCCTCAACTGCCTGTCTAGGAATGATTTCATTAAAGATAAGTCAGGAGAAGTAAAAGTCCAGTGAATCCATTTTGCTGGGTATAACAATGGGTGTATATCCAGGTCATAGCTATATTGTGAACTGAGGGAAAGAATTTAAGTTACTAAAGCAAACTTTGTGTATTATCTGTAAATGGTTAATTCATGTCATCCTAATCATTCATTCCTATTTATGCTTTTATTCTAACTGATTTTTGGAAAGTAAAATTTGTGCTTTATCTTAGGGTTTTTTTTTTTTTGTCTTTTAAAAAATTTTTTTTATTATGGAAATAGTAGAGAGACTGTTGTTATCAACCTCATGTACTCACAACTCACTCCCAGCAGTTACCCACCCGTTGCCAACCTTGTTTCATCCACACTCACGTACCCCTTCACACCCTTTTCTTTCTGCCTGTTCAGAAGGAGTCTGTGAGGCATGCATTATTAATAGCACATTACCAACCTATGTTTTCAATACTGTTACTGTGAAAGAGACAGAGTGCTTGCCTGTGAAAGGTTTGCCTATCAGGGAGGAAGGTTCCATCTTCTCCATTGTAGCATACCTGTTTTGTAACTCACTTGAAATTTGTTGAATTTCTGTGTCACTAAGGACAAAGAAGAATAGAAAAATCAAGTAACTTAAATATTAAGAGTAACTTCGATGTGTGTTCTTAGAGCAAATAATGACTTTTAAAGATATCTGCACTTTTAAGGATACCCACAAAGGTTTTCTTTGATACTGTTACATCTCTAGTTTAACACCTGTTTTGACAAAATTCTCTTTTATATAAACTAAATCATGTGACCCCTCTCTGTTTGTCCCTCTGCTATATTCAATAAATAGATAGTCACAGCCTCAACTTCTCTGGGTAAGGCCTCAATTATTGACAATTACATGATTTTCATTGGAGAAAACTAGCCCTGTCAGGGTTTAGGTGCTCAATAGACTAATGAGTGAATTTAAGATTAACACTAAGGAAGGGGATAAATAAAGTGGATACAATGATTACTGGCCCTATATACCAAAAAAAGTTACAGAAGTGTATTATGTTATTATATGTAGATGCACGTGGATACTCCAAACAATTCATGGAAAGCGGAATTCAAAGATAAGTTTATCTTGTTGCTAACAGTAATTGAAATCCATGCATAACTTTCACATAATATGCATTTTCCATGAATTTCCTGAAGCCCCTGCATATTCAAATAAAAATCCCACTTTCATTTTTCTTTAAATGTGCATTTCATTAGTTAAAAAAAAAAACTACTGGGAATATAGCCTCAGCTTTGCTGATAAAAATTCAAACTAGGTGCAAGCAAGTCTGCTAATAGAGGGACAGGTCTGTACTTTCTTGGATAACAAAGCCATGATGAATTTATGAAATCAGTGCAATTTATGTTTTCTCCCAGTTTACATTCTTTCCATTGACTCATTTGGTTTCATATATTGTTAATGCACTGTATTCCTAAATTTTGCATTGCACTTTTTAAATTTTGTATGAATTTCTTATAAATATTTTAATAAATATTCCTTATGTTTTTAGCTATAAAACTAGATTTTAAAAAATGTTGGAATTTCCCTTATACAGTCTTAAAGATATGACTACTTAATACCTTCTTCAGTGAGGCCTTAAGAAAGCACAGAAGCTCATCTTGCCTGAGCTAGATCTATCATCCTGGTATCAAACTGATACCCTTTTCAATATCGTCTCTATGTTTCCTTTTGCATTTGATTAAATCTATCAACTTAGTACAGATTTTACTGCTCTCCCACTTTGTTTTTCTCCTACTGTGAAAGGAAATGCATTTTCTTTGTTCTTCCCCTGCACTAATGTATGCTGCCTGTGTTAACCATACTTAATGAAAACAATCACAATTTTCTCAGGTTTGTTTCTCCCTACTGTGTACTTGAGATGAGAAACTCACTTTCCTGTGTACAGTACAATACCATTAATTGGAAAGAAGAGGAAATTGCCAGTGACATTTCTATTCCTTCAGTCATCCGCCTCTTTCCTCAGGCCCAACTCATAATAAATCTATTGTGAATCTAACCATGAATAGGGAGGGGTGGCTAGATTTGCTAATGGGTCCCTTAAAAAAAAAAAGACAGGTATATTTCACCCTGCTTATCACTAATTTAGGAATGTTAGCCTGGTTGATTGGTGCAGATGAAAATATTTGAGACAATTTCTTATCCTTTACCAAATAATCAAGTTTTTTCAATGTAATTGATGGGGGTTGGGTTATTGGCATCCTTCTGGTACTTCCCACGGTTTGCATGAGGTGGAGGTGTATGCATGACAGTATGTGGATTTCAGGGGCTTAGTTCTGTTCTGTGGAACACAAAATGAATGTTTCTTTTGGGACTTCTCTCATGTACTCGCTCCCTGCTCACCACTTTCTCCTGTTTCTGTCCATTTTGGAGTCAGGACATCTTGAAACCTATCCATAGATTTTAAAGTACTACAAGCAGACAGGAAATCAGAAAATTGGGCTACGTGGATATTCCAATTAGTATTTCATTTAAGATGTTAGATATAGTCGAGTTTCACAGGCTCCCGTGGCAGCTGACATTGTGGTCCAGTGCTCCAGTGTTCCATATAGTACCAAAGTAAAATGAGCATTAAATATCCTGCAGCTGTGTTTTAAAAGATATAGACTCCACTGTAAAGAATAGTGTGTGAACTACAAAAAGATTGTTTTATATGAGGGAAAATTATCCTGAGTTCATCTTGCAGAGCTGTAGCTTTTCATTTTTATCAAATGACAACAAGATAATGAGAAGTTAACCACAAAATTAGTGCTTTAAAATGATAAAAATAAGATAAACATTATTGCATTTATTCAGAAGCAGTATTTAGTGCTCTCCTGATTGCCTTGGTAAGTGCTGTATCCTTACAGAGGGTCACAGATAAATAAGATTAATTCAGCAAGCATGCTTCCTGCCCTCTAGGAGCTGACAGTCAGAGTTTCTCAAACATCTCATTAATAAAACAACATTTCTATTAAAGATTTTGTGACTACCCAGAAGCTATGTTTATTTTCATCTTGATTAAATTTATATGTAGACTGCATTGCCCCATTTTAAATAATTTTAATGTATTCACCCTTACTGAATGGATTTTGGCTTTTCTAATATTCCTTAAAATTAAAACAATGTAGTTTTGTTAACAATTTTTTAAATGCTGTGGCTTTAGCTTTACTCTATCTGTGCAGATAGTTTTACTTGTATCTTGAAAATCATACAAAAATCATATAAAAATATTGGGAGCTAACAGCATGTATGCCAAAGGCTATGTTGTGGTACACCAAGATCCCAGACAGTGGTCACACACAAAAAATAATTGTAGCAATCATGAGGTGCTGAGCCAAGTCTCTGACCTCTGTAAGTCCTGTTCTGAGTACTGCTGGAGCAGCAAAGCTGAGTAAATTACCACAAACCATTAGACATAATGATAACATAGCATGTGATGGTGAGATAATAGAAATGTTTCCCAGGTACAGAAGTAGTACAAACAGGGAATAATTACTGTATGGGGTTGTAAAAGTTTGCCCCTCCGGCCTTATTTGGCCTCATGTCTGTTGGCTACTTTATAATTCTTCACGAACTTCTCTCTGTCCTCACACTTAAACTTCACAGTCCAGTCTTCTCAATGATTCTCCTGCCATCTGGCAAACACACAGTGTTGGAGAAACACAGCTTTCCATTTGATCTGTGTCTGACTGTAGGAGTTGAGCCTGTGGAAGGGGAACAGTTAACAGGAAGGCTTAGTGACCTCACCTCATCAGGCAAGCGGCCCTCTCCGTAGGCTCATACGCCTTTCATCCACTGTCCTTCACTGTCTGTAACTTCTTCACTTTCCTCTAGATCCCCTCTCTTCAGATTCTGTTTCTTAGAGCAGATGTAAGATGTAAGATGTAAGATGTAAGATAGCAGGAGGAGGAGATCGAGAGCATGAGGAGACTGAAGGGAATAGATCGTCTGGACAAAGGCCAATGGTGTTAGGTTGGGAAACACCTGGCAGGGATGGTGCAGGGTAGAGGGAACTAAGGAAGGCGTCAGCAAATGGGGTGTCAGCCAGGTCGGGGGAGGATGAGTGTCACAGAAACCAAAACCAAACAGAAGGATGGAGTGAATTAGAGCAGTCCAATAGCACAGGGACATCAAACTCCAAATAGTTGCACTGTTTTTTTCAAACAGCAAAGTGTGAGTGAAGGCAGCTTCAGGGCACTAAAGAAGGTGGAAACTAGAAACATGTTGTTCTTTAAGGAGTGATTGGAAAGTGAGCTCAGGTTGCATTGGCAAGAAGTCGGGATTAAAGGATGCGTTAGCCTAAGACCCATGAGCGGGGTATGCTCTAAACTTCCTGGAATCTGACTTTATCAGACGACTTTCCATATCTTCCTTCTTGTTTACTCCTGCATCCAGAATGTGCTGTTTCTAGGAACACATGTATTTCAGACCATGTGCTGGCCACAGTGTTTCCTAGTAAATTAATAAACAGCACTTTGGTTTTAGAAGAAAAAAAAGAGATTAGGAAGGAAGAGGCTATCTGAGAAAAGAGAATAGTAGAAGAAGAATACAGG